ATAATTACTGAAGACATAACAGGATTATGTCTTTAATAATAATTAGATAAGCAGACTTGGGAAAAAATATCAAAAGATAATTTAGAACGGTATAAGAAGAATGATGATAATTTTTGGTCAAATTCTGATTAACGGGATGATATGTTGAATCAAGTGTATAATTGATTCATCTTTTCTAAAACATATTTTTTCTTATTTGTATGCCATTTGGCAACTTTTTTTTTATGAAATAAAACACATGACATCGCTCCCTAGGGCCATTATAACATGATGTAATTTCGCAGTTACGATGCGATGTGGTTATAATTATTTATTCATTTGCTTACCTTCTCGCAGTAACTGCTCGAAGTCAGAAAAAACAAATACCATATGTGTCGAGGCACTAACTCTGCTATACTTATAACATATACATCTTTTTTCCAAGATATAAAGAGGAAAAAAGGGCCAAAAAAAGTTAACAATTAATATTTTTCTTCTTTGAATGTATATTATAATTATAACTTGCAAAAATGTCATCTGAAATAAAAGAAAATAAAATTGATGCTAGCGATGAAGTTACATACCTCGAGTTTAAAGGAGATAGGGCATCGGCCTCCAGTGAGTATATTGCCCTTTTGGAAAAAATTTTAAAGTCAGCATGTAAGAAACAGAAAACATCTTATAGTTCAAGCCTAAGAAGTCTCAAAATTACAGATTATTTAAAACTCTCGGATAACAAAATTCTAAGTATATTATACTCATACCCAAATATAACCAGTCTAAATTTTGAACAAAATAGAAGTTTTATTGATGCATCACTTATAGAAATTACCCGATCATACTCCAACTTAGAATCTCTCAATATCTGCGATAACCAAGATATCACTGGTCACTCCATATATAAAATTGCTCAATCTTGCCAAAAATTATGCAACCTTGATATTGGTTTCTGTGGGAATATCACTGATAATTTTGTATATAAAACAGTAAAAGCGAGTTGTAAATTAGAACTTCTGTGTATTGGTGGATTAAAATGGTATAAGCCAATTTCTGATCGAACAATATCTGTAATAACCCACTTATGTCCTAATCTTTATTACCTTTCTTTAAAGGGTTGTCATAATATTACTGATAATTCAATTAATATATTGTTGCAACATATTCATAATTTAAAATTCCTAGAACTAGATCAGTGTAGATTTATTACTGATTCATCTATCTGTAATATTGCTAACTCTTGCCTGAAGCTTGAACATCTTAATATTGGTGCCTGCGATGCTTCTGATATATCTATCTGTAATATTGTGCATTTGTATAAAAATTTAAAGTATCTTAATATCAGGTGTTGTCGTCTTGTTACTAATATAGTTATTAATGAAATCGCTTAACATTGTTCGAACTTGGAATTTCTTTCTATAGTAGGCACAAATGTTACTAAAGACGCATTGAGCAAAATTAATCCAAAGATCAAGATAAAGTAGGATTCAACACTTGAAATGGACCCAGACAAAGAACTTAATGATCTCTAAACATCACTTGTTTATTTAGTGCAGGATTTATGGTCAACTTATACAAATCTCAAAGATATTATACAATATTGCAAAAACAAGATTAAAGATAAACATTATCAAAAATCAATTGTGGAATTGGAGCGGAATATGAGAGGTACAACTGAAAGGCTCGGTTTGATGGTATGTATGTATGGTCTTAAAGAGAAAATTAATTATTAACTTACAAATCCGGAATATGATACTAATTATACTGTTACTGAGTTTGTCCCACGTGATATAAAATATAGAGGTAGTGAATTCTTATCCTTACACATCAAATTCCAAACATCACGAAGCAAGTTTCATCAAAGATTATATAAAAATAATTTCTTTCCCTAATATGCTGACAGTTTGTATAGATCAGAAAATTGTATATGAAAAATAACTAGGTGAATAATTACCCATTCTCTGCTACTTAACATAATTATTTGTAACCCATGATAAGTAATTAGAAATATTCATACCAGTCTCTCTTATATAATTATTGATTGCAAAAATAAAATTTGTTTCAGATAGTGAAACCCGAGATTCAGCAGGATATTATAAACTCGATAGCAAACCCAGATATTACTAAAAAACAATGTGTCATATCTGTAGACTTGGAGAGCCATTGCTCTGCAATAAAAAAGAAAAAGTACATTCATAATTATTTCTTATCTTTATCCTTAACTGAATCAGGCTCTAAATATTCTAGCATTGATAAGAATAAAATATGTATACAAGTTTTCAAAGCAAAGAAGTGTAATTAGTTATCATCATAAAGATAGAATAGTCTTGCTTGCTCTGAAGTTTGTCCTTTTTTCTGATAATTTATCACGACATAGTTTTGTACTGAAGAAGTATGGTTATCTGAATTATGACGTAGACATTCTCCAGATATGGTATAGGCATGGGCTGGATTCTCAGCTTTATATATTACTGTACTGTAAACTGCTCCTAATTTACGTAAATATTTGGGAATTAAATTATAATCTTTTAAAAATCTATTAAACTATTTAACACCTGGCCTACTTGGATCATCCATTCGTCCAGATGGTATAGCATGCTGAATCCAAATAAGTAGTTCTTTGGCTCTTTCTTGATTCTTTTTCATAGATCTAAGTTTTCTAGGAATATCTGGCTGACCTCGATTCTTCGCATATTCTGTTACTCCGGCATCTGTAATTCATAAAGTTCTAAGTTTAACAGAATGAATACAAAGCATCACCATAACATTAGCAAGAGCCTGATAATCAGATAAAGTTTTAATATCATATGCATCTAATCTTTCTTTGATTGATTCTAATATAAATTCATCTGAATAATTAATACATTTAGTTTCAGCCTTTTTCCAATTGACATTTTGGATTTTGTTAGTATTTTCTATAATATCAGAAAATTTTGTAGTCTCAATTATCTCAAGTAATGCATTAAGGTTTCTTAATTCTCTATGAAGACAAGTGAGATATGATTATGGTTCCGAAAATTGGAATCGAATAGAATCGAACAGAATCGCATGAGGTTCGGAACACTATTAAAAATGAT